AAGTTAAATTCACACTTGAAGTAGGAAAAAAAATCAAAGATAGCATTTTCCAATGTAGAACTCACTAGACAAGATGATGGGATATTAAGAAGTTGCATCTGCAGGAAGCCTGTATTGAACAGTCAGGGGACGCATTTTTACAGTTGAATACCTATAAGTCGAAAAAACTTATCATGTCCCTTACCCCCACTGTGTTCTGAGAATCTGCAGTGCTAATAGCTTAGAAGAACTAACGTTTCCCAAAAATATTCTGGCTGAAAATGGATATCCAGCATGATTTGTGTGTAAAAAAGCATAAGACCTAAACCACAAAGAAATATACCCATTTTAGCTTCAAAGAAGATATTGTACACGGATCTTGACTTCAAAGGTGACTTTGATGCTGATATCTTGAAAGGAAGAATTTCAAACTCTCTAGAAAAAAGCCTTCGCGTCAACTTTGAGGATAGTATTCTCTACTAGCCCAGAGTTTCCTGATAACCCGAAAAATAAGCCTCCGCATCTCACCACTTCCCTGTGTGTTTATCAATCCACCTGTTCCTGTAGGTCGTTTGGTACGCATTCTTTCCAAACGGGTTAGAGAGAATATTACCCCTTCTGACTGCAAAGAGGTGCTCGTGGATCCATTAGAAGTGCAATAATTGAACACCATGTTAACACTAATCACAATCTTAACTGACTCAGTATTCATGGTCATCTACAAGGCGACCAGAAATTTGCCAAAGTGGTGCGTTTTCGCCTTCTCTGTATATTACAGAAGCTCTTGTCATATACATGGAGAAACTGGAATTATGTGTACAAAAAAAACTTGTTCAACTTTTGTTGACACCTTGGAATTAGTAAATTGCTAACAATACATCGACCTCTATCTCTCTCTTCTGATTCGCAACTTTATGGTATCTTACGATAACTTTTGATAACCCAATATTATCTTTTTTTGTTTTGATGTTACGCTTGATCACGCTTTATCTTGAAGGTTATTTTTGCATATTTGTGCGATTTTATATTCTATCCGGTTAATTATATTGGTTTCTATTCTCTTTTGTGATTAGTTTTCACTTTGCATCTCACTTATGAATCTATAATATTCATCCGACTTGATCTTTGTTTGGTTAAATAGCTCTTGCAACAATCAAATATAGTAATCTTATGCCTGGGAAATCTCTGGGTCATGATAGTGTTTACTTTAGATTGTTATCTTCGCTAGCGGACATTGTTACTGAGCCAGTCATTGATCTTTTCAGCCTGTTCTTATTCTATATTCTCTTCCCTAGATACTGGTAGGTTACCATAATCGACTCAGTTTCAAAGGTCAGTAATTGTCGGTTAGTACTGCCCCATGACCAGTATATTCATAAAAATCTTTCAGAAAGTTCGTGATGAGGTACTTAACTACGTTAAATTAAATGGTGTCTCGGTACCACGGCGACATGGTTTTAGAGAGAACACTCTTGTTTAACAAATCTCTACATCGCAAAAGAGGAATGAGCTACAGCCTGTGATAGCGAACTTCCTCAAAGACATCGTGTTAATAAACTTCAGCAAAACTTTTGAAATAGTATCTCATGTAAGAACACTGGGAAAGCTGTCCTCTTTCGGGTTTCATGCTGCACTATAATCCTGGATTAGGGAACTTCTCTACTATAGGAGGCAAAGAGTGGTTAATGGGACCTTTTCTTAGTAGAAACCTGTTTACCAATGATGTAAAAGACCGGAAAGTCATAAGAGATGCTGGTGGGTATACACTTCAAGTAGATTTGGATGAACAGGTAGGTTGGCACAAACGTTGGTGTCTGGAAACCAACTCAAGTAGAAGTACAACGATTCACATTGATCATAGTAACTATTTCAGGTAGTCCGTTGGCGGTACACCACTACTTCTGGTCTAAAAGACTTTGGTGTCATCATATACCGCAGTCTGATAAGGTCCATACACTTCAATGCAGCTGTGTTATGGTCGATGCTCAGAGCTTTCAAAAGTTTTGACCATAATATGTTCAGGATACTACTTCTACTTACACAAGATGTCACTTAAAATACTACGTTCGGAAAACCAGTACATCTAAGAAAGGCGATGCAAATGTACTTGATCGTGTTCAAATAATGAGTAATAGGCTTACGTATTACCTTTCAGATTTACCCTATGAAGCGAGATTAGATCGACTAAATTTATTTCTGCTGTTTTAGTGTACTAAAAGGGGTGATCTCTTATTGGCATTCCGCATCTCTGATAAGGACTCCGGCACTCCCCTTTTCGCTCCTACTTGGATTGATTATCTCTGAGGTTATCGAAAAGGCTATCCAAATATTCTCCTATTTTCATGCTGAGCTTACAATTCGAACGAGTTCCACAATGCACTGAAACAAATCTCTAGTACTATCTTATTGTAGGAGGTCTACTAATTGACATCAGTTCTCAATGGAATTCGTAATGAGATGAGACATGAGAATTTTCAATTCATCTGGATTGTGTGAGATATCACGTCATTGAGGTTTATATATCTTTACATGCCTTCCAGCTCTTCGAAATGAAGTGAAATAAGAATGAGGCTAAAAGTAGGCATGAGGTCGTCATCGATAGATAGTCTCATTTCTGTCTCCAAGTGAAAATTCTCAGCTACATCAAGGTATTGACTGTATTCTTGAAAGTCATATAACATGTGTGTTTAGTCAACAACAAAAAAGAAGTTACAAATAGGCTCGAATGAAATGATGCACAAGATTTCAGAGGTGTAACTCCCCACTTTTTGAGGTCTCTTCCACGGCAAAACTATGAATTACAACAAGGCTGAAATTTAGGTAGTAATAAAATCTTGTTTAGCCACCGCACTTCTGAAGAGAAAACTATCGGGTTCACAAATATAATCAAATGTTGGGACTAACGATGGCTGCTGATTATAAAGTACAGAGTGTACAATTGAGAGAAGAATCGTACACTACTAATAGGGAAATTGACCAAGTAACTAAATTCCGTTCATCCAGGAATACCAGCCCAAAGGACAGAAGTAACAAAGAAATGAGGCATAAATGCGATAAGAAGAAATAAGGCCAATTCCTTTGTGACTGATAGAAAAATGTATCAGGAAAACTGTGTTATGAAGACTAAAGGTAGGTGGTTGGTACATGTCAAGTAAGGGCTTGTCAGCGATAGAGTAGACACGAAAGATCCATTCAGTAATATTAGTCGATGATTCCAGTTTGTGAGTGTGCTTAGGGAAGGACTACTAACCAAAAAATCCATATTCCCTTGTTTGATGATATACATACATACATACATATTTGACGTACACTGAGACATCAATTCAGGTATAGCAGTGTAGAATATCAAATTGAAATCCCCACGAATCTCCATATTGAATTACTGTCCAGTGCTCATTAGTAACTTGCGTCTAGATGAAGTTCCCGAATTTCTAACAAGATGTCGTGACCGGTGGGGCAAACCAATTCATACGTAAGGACAGGTACTCAACGACAGCATTGGACGAAGGTCGTGTTCAACGGCAACGTGCTGGTTGGCTGCGAAACCTGAACGTCTGTAGGTTAGATCCCTGGTAGAATTATGGGTGTGCTCACTGCTGAGAAGTCCTTACAAGGATGAAATAAATGTCCGACGCTCCCAAGTTTTAAATAGTTCTCCAACTGGTGTCATTTTGTGATAAAGTCAATGAAATCCCCACCAACCTTCAAAGTGAAACATAGAAATGGTCAAGTGGTAATGCAAAATTTGATAGTTCATGTTCACATTGAATTGCTGGAGGATAGATTATATAATGAGTTATGAATTTAAATAATAATGCAGCCTAAAGAAGCATGTAAACTTTAGGTGAGAAAATAATGATGATGGTAATAATAATGTTGACACTGTGGGGAGAACTGAATCAGTTGAGGGTAGATGATGTTGTATAGAACATGTTAGTTAGTAGTCACTTAAGAGGGGTATCCTAAGAAAACCAGGTATGTGATGAGATGAAAAGTAGTGATAACAATGGTAATAGGAATAAGGTTAATTAAGCGAAGCAGATCAGGAAGGGAAAACCAGAAGTATAGGATAAGGGTGGTAATCGAGGGCAAAGAGGAAGTAGGGAGGAGTGGATATGATTCGACAACATTGCAATTCCTACCGTGGTGGATTCAAGGTGACTACCATTTCCTTCAGAACATTGAGTTTCGGTTTGACAACTCGAATCTCACAAGTTTCTGCAATCGCAAACAGCTTATTTTCCTATCCTGTGATAATTGTAAAGGGTATACAGGTATCACTATCATGGTCATAGTCAATTGGGTGTTGTGTTATGGGACTCATTCGAGTGTTTCTTTCTGAATGCTTCATCAACTTGTGTACATGCTCAACCATCCGGATAAACAGACACCTCTACGTAAGATCTATTTGTTTCCCAGCGCAGATACATTTGAATTGATATGAATTTAGATGTGTGAAGGATGGAATTCCTGTATCCCTTGGATTGTTGGAATACTCGTTTTGGTGGTACTGTGAAGAATGAGCTTTGCGGCGTAACAAGTCCTTGTGACGAAGTTTCCCAGTCTTCGCCTAACTACCTGTTGGACGTCATCACCTTTAAATAGTAATGTGATATACAGTGGGCTTCTGTGTATTGATGAAGAGATTGTATTAGTTCCTGGTGGTGTGGGGTAATTCTTGACGAAGGTTTCTGTATGCCCGTTGTTCGCCAGTATGTTTTCGAAAGTCATTATTTCATAGTCTACTGTGCTGTTGGAACATGTTTCCCTGGTTCTACTAAACGCCGTTTCAGCTGCTTCCATTTTAGTTGATTTATTAGACGTTTCATACAGTGAAGGCACAGTATGATTTACTGGACTACGTTTCGGACACAATTTACTGTCCGTAGTAATATCAGAATAGCTCCATAAATTTGAGATATGGTGTATATAGTTCTAGTTTTCTACCCTCCTTTGTGATATGGTTAGTAGGAATTCCTATATATCCGTAACAGGTGCTGACTCATTCCTGTTACATGTATTAAGTGTTGATTCGATAAACAAACATTCAGTTATCAATCTCTCCATCCCACCCTGTAATGTTAGTTTTAAGGGTTTCCACCTTGTGTCATCCTATTGTTTGGTTATGCGTAGTTGCATGCATAGCTATGGCTGAGCTTTTTTCTAAAGCTCTTATCTTACAAGGATTTACCAATTTTGACCTAGCTAAGTTTTTAATCTATGTATTTGACTTCTCAATCGTTGCAAGGGATTCCTTAAACTAAATTCTTCTGCTTAATTGAATCTAAGCCTAATTTCTAAATAAGTTTGCAGGTTTAAATGCTACTCTAACCCATCCTTACTGTGAATCCCTCTAAAATCAATGGAAATTAGAGCTGAAATGGCTCTCTTACTGCATACTTAAAAATTCTACTCCACCTCTAAACGCGTATTCACATGGTTACAGTTTTTACTAAAGTAAACGAAAGTAAGGTCTCGACTAACATGCTTTGATGAACTTGACTTGATATAGAGTGGATGAAGAAATGCCATATATAACATAAGGAAACATAACATAAGGAAAACAGGTAAGCCAATAAAAAGTTAATTTTTGTCAAACACACGAAATAAATTAGCAATATCTATGAAAGCAGCAAAAAGATTAACAAACACCTCAAGGTCATCAGAATATGTCCTTTAGTATTGATCATTCATAGTAAAATGATCAAAGTAACCAATGAAAATTAACTTGACAGTTTATTGGATGTGCATGATTGGTTGAACATTTTGTTTCCCTATATTTACATCCACCATATTAGCTGGAGCAAAGCTTATCCCAAAAGTTAATCAAAAACGGAGTGAATTATTTATTTCACCAGGTGTAAGTATCAATCTTGACGCGAGTGGAGTTTGAAGTCTCCAACTGTTCATTGGACACACAACACTGCACAATCCAGTTGTCTTCTAAAGTGTTTTAAAAGGATTGATTAGGTGAGTGAGTGAGTAAGTGATTGATTGTTACAGCCTTTAATAGTATTCATGTTAAATTTCTTATGAATAAATTATACTTGAATGGTTGATCATATGATAATGTTTCTAACCATAGTGACATGAAGATTTCAACTAGTCATTGGTTTTTTATGACACACTTGATCAGTGTTTCATGATATGCAATGTGTTGAGAGAATACCATGTTTCAGTGATGAGAATGGGTTGATTTTTGATCGAAGAGGAGATACTATGATAAATGATAAGGTAGGTAAGTAGGTAGGTAGGTGGGTAGGTGTATTGATTGATTTGAGTGTTGGGTGAACATCTGATTTGTCGGTGAGCTTTTGGCAAGTGAATATTTTCATTTGTTTGTGTAGTATATAGAGAAGAGTGAATTGTTGACTAGAATTGCGTGACTATTCCTTTGTGGTGCTGATTGTGTGAGTGTAGTTGAGTGATTTAATTATTGTATTGTGGGGAATGGTGGTGTAGGTGGAGATCACATGAGCCTACTTTGGATTGGCGAAGTGTGAGTAGTAAGTGAGTATCATTATCCGTGATATATTAGTTGTGATCGAGTGTCTATGATTTCCCCTTCAGTGATTGTTAATCATCAATGAATGTAGTTGTGTGTGGGATCTGTTGAGCATGAGTGTAGTTTGTAGTTTGTGTTTGTCTAATTGTCTACAATGCAGTAACGAATGGATTGCAGGTAATTCGAAGGGGTCAACTGGTAGTCAACATGTACATTGAATTCAGTTTCAGAGTTTAAGTGATGAGCAAGCAGTGAGATTTCAGAGCCTTGAAAGTTATGTGATATGCAGAGTAATTAATTCTGACTGTGATTTGTGTAGAGGTGTGGAACTTATTGCGTCACTTTACTACTGCAGATGCTATCAGCACCTTAGACTAACGAATTAGAAAGGTGGTAGCAGTGGACAGCTGTTTCTCTTAAGTATGAGACTTCTTCTGTAGTGTGAGACCATGGTGGCACCAGTGATCTAACCCGGGACCTTAAGGTATTGCGTTGAGCACGGTGCCGTTGAACCACTGGGTCGAAATCTAATGGTTGACATTTCCCTATTTTTATTAATTCACAGTAAGGTGCAGCTTCCCCCCGAATACCATCGTTAAATATTTGTCATCATAAATTGAATGTTAATTATCAAATGATTTACATTGAGTCACTCGACAGTGTTCTACGAGGCTACAGACCAGTTGAATAGTGTCCATTATATCGCTTATTTCCATAAACTCTTTGATTTTACCATTGTACTATCGTAACTTTTTATAAGGATGTCGTAAATGTAAATTTAAAGAATCTGCTCGACATGCATGCGTGCACAGCATTGTGATCATGTCATAGAACTATGCAATGAACACTACTGCTGATGCTTGACAAAAAGTGAGTTTAAGACAAGGAAGTTATGTGACCGTATCTTAAGTATATGGGGTGGATATTAATGTGATTATATCCAAGTACATTGTACGCTATCAGACTGGCAGTTGATTGACATTACTGTTTCGGTACGATCGATTCACTATGATCAGCCAGTAACTGATTCTCATCTTAAGTAATTCAAAACAAAACGCTGAATTGCAAGCATACTGGTCAGGTATTCAGTAGGAAGTTGAAGTGAATTACTACAGTTGCTTGTTTACAAAACTGTATTCAAGGTAGAATAATTATATTCTGACCTTCGGGTAAAAAAACACAGTCCGTTTAGGGTAATTTGGAGGCTAGCAAGGAGCCAGTAACATTCGTTCAATAAATATGAGGTTTCTAAATAGAGGGCATATTACAATATACCACTGTCTATCTTGACATATAGTTCTGAATGTTGTAATAGAAAGCTTCGGGTAGCGAGATCTAGTTATGATTGTGAAGTCAATGAGTATTGCATTGAACTGTAGTTGTAGTATGTTTGAAATACTCACTCAACATTAGGCAGATTAATCGAAAATCTATAGGGAAATGAAATAAATTAGATACATCTTCTGGCCTAATACAGTAGTGAACAGTTAATGATTTTCTATTCATTCGCTTAACTTTTCATTATGATTTATTTTGCTTTGGTTGATTGATTTATCTTTCGTTATTAACGATATTGTTTTTCTCAACCAGTGAATCTGTATGTCCAGTCTTAGTATGCACTTAGCTTGGATATGTAAACATCAGCTGGATCATTTATTAACTTATGAGTGAATGACATGGTAACTAAAGGCGACAATTACTTCCCTCATCTATATAAATACGCAAGTCGTAATACGAAATCAACTGATAAGATATTACAATCTTGACCTCTATTAATTATGTCTGTAAGATTGACTCACCATGTCTTACATCATACTATTTTTATCTTCCGATTCACATTTACCTTTCACCTTTGTTCGCGTTATTCATGATATGTATAAACTGCTATATGACTGTGATGAGAAAGAGAGTTCTGTTTGCTGATCAGTATTTTTTTTTAATTTATCTCCTTGAGCTGACGATGTGGTCACTGTTACTGAGCTTAATTTCACTTAGAGCTTCTTCTTTGGTCCTATGACTAACAGTTTTAAGGAAATCCAGAACACTAGTTCTAACTGCTTTTTATTGCATCGTGTTTGTTGTGTTCCGGTTTCATCATATTATCATTAACATAGCTGCTGATTCAGAGAGAGGAGAGAGAAACGTACAATCAATATTAATGTACTAGACAAAAAAAAACAAAGCCCAGAAAATGTAAATGAAAGCAGAAAGTGATGAAGATGTGGTCATTCAACTTTAATTGGTTACTGTTCTTCTTCTGTAAGTGTACAACAGGCTGGAGACAAAGAATATATATTCAAACGCTACTGGTCATCATTATTGTAGATGTGGATGAGGTATAACTTCAATCATATCAGCTACTTCAGAAATAATCATCGTCAAGATTTTCTTGTGCGTGTGTATGTATGCTGTGAGCTTGAAGCACTGACGTTAAATAGTTCTGTCGATAGGAATATCAATGTAGTGGTGTTGTGGTGAAAAATAATCAGTAATTGAAGAGCAACTTTGAACCAAAAGTGTATGGGAATACTTATTATAGTCAATAAATTTATGCTTCTGTGTATTTGATACCCCGTTTTTCAAAATTATCGCTAAATGTACGTAACAGCTTTATATTTGACTAGAAACATTCATTTAACGGTAACCTAATTGACTAACTACTTTCATCCCCATCATTAGTTGGTTCCCTAGTCTATTGATAAAAGCAGATGCCTTCACCGAACAGCTTTAAAGCTATTACAGATGGTTAAGGGTAACGGATGATAAAAATGTTCAAATAATCATTTGAAAGATCGCCTCAGTACAAGTAAAATAGCATAACTTATGCAATTCCATTCAGTAATCTTTTTTTTCTCTTATATATCATAAATTTGTGCATCAGAGATAGAAGTAAATGGAAGGGTTACATTTAAAAACCTCAACCTAATCATCCAAAGAATTTCAGTAGGATCTTTGTACTTATATTCCATTGAATGTGAGGGAAATACAATTGCATAGATTCAAGTTGTATTCAGTCAGTAAATATTCAGTGGTAAAAAGAACAAACAAATTAATAACGTATTACTGAAAAACATGATGAGTTACAGATTAGTCAAACTGACCACTTATTCAGTAGTGAGAGTGTCTGCTCTACCTACATTTTACCCTTGTTGCTACTCATTAACAAACGTGTATGTGGGGTAACTTTATTGTCTATCTGATATTCTAACCGGCATCATTCAGTGATAAAGATAGTAACTTTACTGTTGGAGTCTGTGTCATTCAGTTCATAATGATATTGTTCCTGAAGTAAAAGCTAGTGATATTCAGAGAAAATCCTTTTGATATAACAGATGAGTTGCTGAATAAATTAGCCAACTGCTGTCAGAAATGTCTAGGTGAATCACATAGTTTATAGATGATTAAGGAAGGGAACAAAATATTCATGTTGATAAGGTATATGAGTCAGATAATAGGCTACACAGTTCCGAAATTGAGGTGTAGATGGATTACGAAGTTAACCCTTGATCGCAAACATGAATATGTGTTGTTCAAACAATTAAAAGATAATCCCAAAAAACTGGTTTTCTGTACACCTGCTTTCGTAAGACTGACCTACATATAATAATCCATATTGCCCCCTCTTCTACACTAGTTATAAGATGGGTGATTGACTCAATATTTGCTGCTGCCATACAGCCATTTAAATTTCATCAGTCGAATGTGCACACAGACTAGAACCGCATGAACTTACCGCGTATCTATACTTAATTAGTCGATTGAATGATTGTGCTTCACTTCATGCATTGTCGTACATCACACCCGTGTGATATGTATATACATCTGTTCTCGTTTAAACAATCATCTTACCCTAATTGAATATTATTTAATGCTACTGCGTTTACAATTTCCAGCATTATTTACATCTCCATCTTCATACTACAATTAAGTGAATTAAACTGTGGAATTCCTCTGCGTTGAACATTGAATCATTGTCAAGTAAATATTGAATACAATTATGATAACTGTTGACTATCACCGTAAATGTTTATCCTAGTACTTTAATGTATCCTTTGAATAAATATAAGTGACCTTATTCGAAATGATATAACTCATCTTCGACATACTCTTCTCATGCTGACGCATCTCTTTCCTTTTTCTGTTTACAGGTCTTTGCATTGTTCCTACCAGTATGTCTACTCTAAGTCAACAACGCAAACTAGTTGAACAACTTCGTCAGGAGGCGAATTTAAATCGTCGACCAGTCTCCGAATGTGTACAAGAAATGATTATATATATGGAACAGAACAGAGATAAAGACTGTTTAGTGTCTGGTTTTGCAAGCAAGAAGGATAATCCATTTCAAGAGAAAGGCGGGTGTATTGTGATCTAGGCGAATGAAAGGAAGAGGTTATGATCCACTCACTGTTGATGGTTGACTTTGACTCTTCTCTTTTTGCTTTACTGTTCAATAATTTTATGTTGTTTTGATTTTAGTTACTTGTGATATTTTGCCTGTGGTTCACTGCGTGTGGACACAAACACACGCACACACACAGATAGACAGATAGACATGGTGTAGCGTGGTGAAGATATGCTTTTGTGGTTACCTTCTCAATGTGAGTATATCACAGTTTAGAGAAGGACAAAATGACAAAGAATTTGTAATAATAAATTGCTGTTGGAGACTGCCTTTCTTGATTGTGTTTTCTGTGAGTGCCTGTGTTTTGTTGGTGGGAAAACTTTCCATCACAGTGTAGCTATTTTTATCTGGAGGCTAGTCAAAACTCTCTTCATTAGTGAACTAGAATGGTTTAGATCCAATGGTGGTGAATTTAGTTCGTAATTGAAATTGTCTGGGTTTACCTTGATTGACTTTGGCTTAGAAGATTATGTGGTGGACGTAGTTGTACTGAGTGAGGATGTTGATAGTATGTAGAGTTTTCCGGTGGACTTGAGAATGTTTGAGATGTGTTTTTTAACATGTGAGTGTGAATGGTTGCTGTGGGATTGGTGTTTTTTGATGCCTCGTCTAACAATAGGAAGTAAAATGACCGATAATGTTGTCTACTTCACTCACTTACCTGAGTAGTGAGATGATCTGTGTTTGGTGAGCGGTCGATGAAGACTTTGTATGGATGCAAAGGGTTTGATTTGGTTTTGACCAAGTTGCATGATTTATGAGTCTACAGTGACATGCAATTGGTGATTAGGTCTAAGTGAACTGTACGGTGATTCATGTTATTCTATCATATGGGTGTGGAAAGTGGTGATAGTAAGAGTTGAATGAGATGAGAAAGCTGTATGTGCTTGACTATGGTTGCCTTTGTAGTATAGGCGATGTGTTATGTTGCGTGTAGTTCATCAATGTGGAAGTCAGGTGCAGAGTTGTAGTGGGAAGAGGAGATTGAGTTGACAAGGCTTTGAACCTCAGAAATGGTGTTGTCAAAAGATCGTAGGTTATGTAGAGCTTTGGAGAAAATGTTGTTGACTGAGACTTTGAATCAGCCGAGAGGTCATTGTATAATTTCATTGTTGGATGTATTTGTATATCGAGAATGGAATTTAGCATTTCAGTAGTTAATATGTAATCGATTTCTGTGCCATAACCAATCGTTTCTGCTCTCGTACTTATCGGACATTCATTTGAAGAAGTCATCTGATGTGGCTGTGGCTACTTCTTTCTACAGACGGTCCCATAGCGCACACTCTCTGCGTGAGAAGAAGCTAGATCTAACTCTCGTCTTTGCCTCAGATAGCGTATGTGAGTGGGGTTCCTGCGAAACTGTCAGTTTATATCCCTGGGAGTCAGGCACTTTCAGCTGAAGAGTCTCAGGATGAAACTTGCGTCGTGGATTCCACTGCTAGCTGGCAAGCAGATATCAACATGGTCAGTAATCAGGTGACATTAAGGCATCCGCATAGAAACTCATCTGCCAATAGAGATCCAGCAATTTGATCCAGTATAGCAGTGGCAGATTAAAAGCTTCAATCAACAGTTGATACTCATCGCACAAGATGTGACTGTCGTTGTCTAGTGAGTAAGGCTTTAGCGTTTGAAGCGACGGGCACTGAGTTCGAGTCCCAGTGGGGAGAACATCACTCACTAGGGTGTACTTGCATCCAGCTGACGAGTCCCAAATGGAACGGAACGTGGGTCCTGCCAAGCAGACGACATAACATGAACTTGTTGTCCCAGCTATTGGTTCAGTCATTCCAACCGGTCATCAAGTTTATGGCTTATTGTCGCTGGGTTATGAAGCAGTGTTAGGTGAAATGAACACTGTTGTTTCCGTTTAGGTAGTCGCAAGCACCATCTTCAACCAGGCTTTCCAGTACATTGGATATTATGGGAACTAACGCTATCGGTCTGTAATTGCATGGTTTTATTCGGTCTTCTCCGAAGATTGGTGAAAGGATAGTGTGCGTCCATTCTTCGGGGAGTTGACTTACTTTCAACGAGTGCATGGACAGACTGTATATGAATGTGGTCAGCACTTCGACTTAATTCCGTAGGACCACCAGTCTTATGTCGTCACAACCCGGAGATTCTCCTATCCTGAGTTTTTAAGGTTACGCCATCACTTGAATTCACGAAATCTTTACGGTTACAGCTTTTTATTGGATATTGGATACTCAACAGTTCCGCTATCACAGTGCTACTCAAAGCTTCTCCATTCGGTCCTGTGATAAGTTTTTAGACATTTACTCGTCGGTTTTCGTTGTGAAATAAGTCGGTATAGGCTTTTTGGTTTATAGCTTGTCTGTTTAGTTACATCACTCCGGTATTTTTACCTGTCCTTGAGAAAGCTTGCATTACATAAGTGTGTAACTTCTTGTGTAAATTCTTGTAGCTAAGACAGCCCATTTCATTACGCCACTTATGCCAAGCCTTATTTCCCCCCTTTATTTCTCATTGGGTTGTGCGAGTCACTCAAGAATATTTGAGAGGCGGTCATCTACTTACTCTTGGAACACTTTCATCGACAGTGTTCTAGATAATGTCCTTTACACATAACCAGTATTTTTCTGTCGTTATAGAGTGCCATTCTTGTGGTCACGGTGCGTTTAGATGTTCGTGCTTCAAGAGCTGGTGGTCCACCTTTCTGTAACAACTGAGTGCTTCCGGTTCAACTAATTACAGTTTCATCTTGGTTATCAAGGGAAATCTCACTAACACGTGATAGGACACAAATATCGTCCATGAAAAGATCGTGGTCTGTTAGAATGTATTAAAGTTGCTATCCTTTTGTATCTGGTCCCCATGGGATGTTTTGCCAGACTTTCACTGTTGGTCCTACTGTCATAAAGGTATCTTGAGGTCTCTCTTCGGAAGATTTATGTCTACAACTTCATTTCAATCCCGGGTTAATTGCTGGTGTGTCGAAGTCTCCAGTGAGGACTATATGATAATAAGCTGCTGAGGTAGATACTGAAATCACGGAGAGCACGTGTTCCTTATGTTTTGTTGGGCACAATGAAGAACTTTACCATCACTCTTAGTAGGTACCACATATATCGGTAGGAAGTATAACTAAAAATATTAGTCTTTGTAATCCTTAACTCCAATTATTGTTTAAACAGAAATTAAAAGGGAAAATAGCTTCATTTGTTTTTATCTATAAATGTATATAAATCTCATAGATTTTCAAATCTCGCTAGTTCTTGGGTGTTGATCCTTGTCTATCGATTTCGCTCCTGCTTGGATCAAAGGATTCTCTCCCATCTTCCTGGATACTCGAAATCCCACTTTATGTTCGAATATCATGTTGCACAAATAGTGAACCGATTTTCCCTTTGATTTATCATCTTTATTTATGCAGCACTTCTCTAAAATGAGGTTCTAAGTTGACGTTTGAACTCATTTTGAAAACCTGAAATGAAGGAGATATTCTTGCTTCTTCAGAAAGAGTTTTACTTATTACATATTGTAACTGCACAAAGGTCAGCATAGATCGCCATTTATCTTCTCTCACCCTTCTCTCTTAAACTGCGAATGGCCTGAGTAGATATAAAGAATTCTAGTTGATATGATATACCATGACCATGTTTACCTGACCCTTTTGTTTAGAAGTAGTTTCAATTATAGAGCATTTAGGCGAACCAGCTAAGGAAATGCTGTAGACCGAATACTTCCTTGTAGCTCCTTTATGCCTTTATGATGTCCTTCCTCTAGTGATGAAACATAGCTAGTGAATTCTTCTCAAGATATGGATGTAAACCTAACCCATGCACAGTTGTGAATGAACTCAATATTTGCTTAGCTGGTATAAGACTCCAGTTTCTGTTTTAATATTCCTGAAATACTGTTGTTTTTAGTAATATTTCAGGCACTTCTGAATCTCCATGTTCAATTACTCCACTGTTTTTCGGCTGATGCGTTATACCGCTTGGGCTTGCGAATGATAGATTTAAGTGATGAAGAGTAGACCTTCTTACCTCTACGTGAAGATAAAATTGGTATGTTTTATCAAGATTATGTAACCTCGCCTGGTTAACTAGTTCACTAGTTACTAGCCGGTCCTAAGCCCGGGTATACAGGGAAGGTTGGGCATAGGGCTAGCAACCCTACCCCGTAAAACAAATCTAACCGCTAAAGAAACTTCAAAGCACAAACGATATATTAAAAACAATAACAAAATTATTCCTCACTGGAATCGAAGAGGCGAAATGACGCCAGTTGGTGAAAGCCTTCGGGAAGCCAATTGGACGATGTGTCTTCTCTCGATGAAAGCGAAAGTGAACGTGGGGACATGGAATGTCCGCACGATGTTTGAACCCAGCAAGGCAGCCCAGATTGCAAAGGAGATGAGTAGGCATCACATCGAAGTGCTTGGGATTTGCGAAAGCAGATGGAATGGGAGTGGACTCTCCAAACTGTCAACTGGAGAATCAATAATCTACTCCAGTCACCCAGACGCCAACCACGAGCACACTGAGGGAGTGGCTATCATGATGTCCTCAAGAGCATCGAAGGCTCTCATGCAGTGGGAACCAATCTCCTCCAGGATCATGACAGCAAGATTCAACTCAAAAGGAAGAAAGGTCACAATCATACAATGTTATGCACCTACAAATAATGCAGAGCAAGAGAAGAAGGAGGAATTCTACAGACAACTTCAATCAACACTGGACAAGACCTCAGTTGGCAATATCGAAATTCTACTGGGTGACATGAATGCCAAACTGGGAGGGGACAACACGGGAAGAGAACTAACCATGGGTCGGGAAGCGCTCGGTGAGGTGATGAAGGAGAATGGAGAATTGTTTGCAGAATTCTGTGCATTCAACGATTTGGTGATTGCAGTGATGCAGTGTTTCCAAGCACAAGGATATCCATAGAGCGAGCGACATGGATTTCACCAGATGGACACCTTACACTAAAAATCAGATCGACTTTATCTCAATCTCAAGAAAATGGAGACGCAGTCTACTTGACACAAGGTCAAGAAGAGGAGCAGATGTAGGTTCAGACGACTATCTAGTGCAAGGAACCTTCAAATCAAGTTAAAAGCCTTCAAGGAAGCTGATGACAGACCACAGTTCAAGTACAACACTCGGAAACTGAAGGACGAAACTACAAAGGGGATCTTCACGGCAGCCAGCCATCAAGACAAAATGGGAGATATCGAGGAACATCCCTGAAGAAACCTGTGTGGAAGAACACTGGAAGTCTTTGAAAGCTATGTGGAAAGA